ATCTGATACTGGCATCAGATACTTTTATCTGATATTTGTATCAGATATTTTTATCTGATATTTGTATCGGATATTTTTATCTGATATTTGTATCAGATATTTTTATCTGATACCCGCATCGGATACTTTTATCTGATATTTTTATCTGATACCTGGACTAGATACCCAGCGGTATGCATGCTGGCGCTTGGTGTCTAGTCTAGTCTTGGACTTATTAGTTAATATATAGTAGTTCTAATGACTTTATAGTTATGTCAGGTACTATGAAGATATTCACACAGTTTTTAAAACAAAATGTGATTCATATTAGACAAAAGAATGGAATATATTAAATAAAATATAACAAATTCATGCAGAGAAAATTTTTTCCTAATACAACGTTCTTAAGAATTTTGTAACAATTGAAAAAATTCTTAATAGCTACGTTTAACATACTCACACACACATATATATTTTTTATTTTCACTGATTAATCTACATCTTGGGATTTAGATTATATAGGACTTGTATAATGTTTACAATACTATTATTGTATTCTTTGAACATATTGAGGTACATGGGTAAATCATTTAAAGTAAATATTTATCCACTCTTTTATTATTATTTTTTTCATTAATACAATGGTATGACAACAAAAGTAATTTATCGTTCATTCCAAATTTCAGTTAAAATTCCATAGTTTATTGTTTTTAGTAACTATCTTGCTGTATTGGGACCTTATTGCTCATATTATGTTTTTAATATATCAGTATAGTTATGTAAATCCTTCTGTTATTACTTATTTTTTAGTTTTTTTTATTGTAATATGCATTTTGGCCAGATGTTATGTTAATTTTTATGTACAATATTTTTATTCTCAAGGGACTTTGTCCCAGAATAAAGGTGATTCTTCTATTCTATATATATATTTATTTTTTCTGTTTGCATTACAGACGATGTAGATCTTTTGCCACCTTAACAAGTATGCTCAATCTCTGCCTGTCTTGGGCTATTTTTTGCCATTTATATGCACGCAGCTCTATTCTATCTTTGTTGATTCTATCTATCCATCTGCTTTTTGGCCTTCGACGTGGTCTTTTGCCTACTATAATAAAAATAGCCCAAGACAGGTAGAGATTGAGCATACTTGTTAAGGTGGCAAAAGATCTACATCGTCTGTAATGCAAACAGAAAAAATAAATATATATATATAGAATAGAAGAATCACCTTTATTCTGGGACAAAGTCCCTTGAGAATAACAATATTGTACATAAAAATTAACATAACATCTGGCCAAAATGCATATTACAATAAAAAAAACTAAAAAATAAGTAATAACAGAAGGATTTACATAACTATACTGATATATTAAAAACATAATATGAGCAATAAGGTCCCAATACAGCAAGATAGTTACTAAAAACAATAAACTATGGAATTTTAACTGAAATTTGGAATGAACGATAAATTACTTTTGTTGTCATACCATTGTATTAATGAAAAAAATAATAATAAAAGAGTGGATAAATATTTACTTTAAATGATTTACCCATGTACCTCAATATGTTCAAAGAATACAATAATAGTATTGTAAACATTATACAAGTCCTATATAATCTAAATCCCAAGATGTAGATTGATCAGTGAAAATAAAAAATATATATGTGTGTGTGAGGATGTTAAACTTAGCTATCCTGTAGTGAATATCTTCATAGTACCTGACATAACTATAAAGTCATTAGAACTATTATATTTAAAAATGGTGTAAAATATTTATTACAGGGACAAATTTAATAATAAAGGAATAAAATATATATAGGTACATATTTAATGTATGTTTTATTAGGTATCAAATAGGTATTAAAATATCAAACCCGATCAATAATCAATTACAGTTGGATTAAAATATCTGATACAATTATTGAGATATCAAGCCCAAGTGCCAGTATGCATACCGCTGGGTATCTAGTCCAGGTATCAGATAAAAATATCAGATAAAAGTATCCAATGCGAGTATCAGATAAAAATATCCGATACAAATATTAGATAATGGAAAGAAATAGCCCAAGAGAGGTAGAGATTGAGCATAGTTGTTAAGGTGGCAAAAGATCTACATGGTCTGTAATACAAACAGAAAAAAAAAAAAAAAAAAAAAAATATATATATATATATATATATATATATATATATGTGTGTGTGTGTGTGTGTGTGTGTGTGTGTATGTTAAACTTAACTATAAAGAATTTTTTTAATTGTTACAAAATTCTTAAGAACGTTGTATTATGAAAATATTTCCTCTGCAAGAATTTGTTATATTTTTATTTAATATATTCCATTCTTTTGTCAAATATGAAGCATATTTTGTTTAAAAAATTGTGTAAATATTTTCTTAGTACTTGACATAACTATACAGTCATTAGAACTGTTATATATTAACTAAAAAGCCCAAGCGCCAGTATGCATACTGCTGGGTATCTAGTCCAGATATCAGATAAAAGTATCCGATGCGGGTATCAGATAAAAATATCTGATAAAAATATCTGATAAAAATATCCGATACAAATATCAGATAAAAATATCCGATACAAATATCAGATAAAAATATCTGATACAAATATCAGATAAAAGTATCTGATACTAGTATCAGATAAAAATATCCGATAGCAGTATCAGATAAAAATATCTGAAATTAACATTACATAAAAAAAAAAAAATAAGCGTAAATATATTTATCTACAAATAAATATTTAATTAAATTAAACTAAATGAATAGATAGTTTTAAAAAAATTGTGCACAACTAAAATTATAACTAAACATTTCTCTTATATCAATGTGGCATGTCTGGACAACCATTTTGTATCCATGTGAGCATCAGATACTTTTGTATCAGATACTTTTTGGTTGTATCTACTGGTTGTATCAGATACTTTTTTAGTATCAGATAAAAGTATCTGATACATACAATCCGACCCATCCCTAGTCAAAACTCAATAGTAACAAGAATATCTAGAAATTAAGGTGTCATAAAACTTTATGTTTGTACACACAAATAATTTTAAATGAAAAATATTTAGAGAAGAGAATATTGGCAACACCAAATTATGGTATTGAAATTACGTTGTTTTAAGTTGCTTGCGATTCTAATAGGTACATATTTTATTTTATTCATATTTATTTTGTTAATTAAGTTCAGAAAATTTGTTTAACTAATGTGATAAAATAACATAAATATTCCGATAAAGCAAAGGCTTTGTAAACTTGATAGGTTTCGAATTACAGCATTTCATAAGTGACTCTTTTCCAAACCTAAAATTTTAAGTCACAATAATTTTCTGGTTTCATCATACCAATTGTCTTTATACCTTCAAAAACCTATCCGATAAGATTCAGAGAAATAAACATTTATTTACAAGGATCACAACCAAGCAAATCCGCTAATCCATTTCCTTCGGGCCATATTCATATTCCTGGACTTAATGAAATGGAATGAAAATATTTACTTATTGAATACCCCAAGGTAGAACCATGTAGAGAAGTCCTAATACAATATCATATTATAGTACATAATGTAGTATTAATTGATACCATGAAGAAGGTGGATTGTCAGATTAGCTTGGTCTTAATCCTTCGAATTGGGAGAAACACCGTTAATTCATATTTTTTTTTATACTTTCATTCACTTCATTTACAGATTTTGTATACAGTTGATGTAGTAAATGCTCGTTCAATGAATTTTGTGTTTCAATTTTGGTTGTCTGGTTGTGAACAGTGACCTCCCATTACAAGTACCAAAAGATATTCACGTCATTTCGATGTTTCCTCTACCAGCTTATGGTGAACTTTACATGAACAACAATTGTATCCATTTAACGTATTGAGTAGGCAAGATTTGTTACCACAAGATTATAACAAGCTCAGAAATTTCTCCCAGTGGTTAATTAGACAATGCACACGAGATCCTAATTTCCTGAACTGCATTTTGGTTACTGACGAATCTTGCTTTACAAGAAACGGGATTCTTAATTTTTGAATTAGCCATACTTGGGCTGAAGAAAAACCTCATACGACTGCTATTGGACATTACCAATATTCCTTTTCTTTAAATGTCTGGTGTAGTCTTCAAAGCAACAACATCATCGACCCCTTTTTTTTTACCACCTGGGCTGTCATGTATATCTTGCATTTTTTGAAAAATAATCTTCATGAGCTTCTAGAAGATATTCCGCTAGGCATTAGGCAAAGGCTGTGGTTTGTGCATGACGGTGCTCCAGCTCACTTTTTTAATAATGTCACTGATTATTTAAATGAAACTTATGAAGGCCAATAGGTTGGTCGAAATGGACCTGTTAAATGGCCACCATGATCTACGAATTTAACGCCATTAGATTCTTTTGTGTGGGGCTGAATGAAGTCTACGGTTTATTCTGTGGCAGTTGGCATGCAAGAAGAGCTAAGAAATCGGACCGTGGAAGCCGCAGTAACTATCAAGCACCATCCTGATGCTGTACGAAGAGCCAGAGAAGGATAGATTCGTCGTACTGAATGTTGCATTCAACAAAACGAAGGCCCCTTTGAACAATTACTCTAAATGTTGTAATAATAATAAATAATAAATCTTTAACCTTCGATATCTGTTTAATAAATGAGTTTGAGATATTTGTTAATATGAACAAAAATGAATACTGTTGTTGTTCCAACAGATTTATAGGAATTAGAAAAATGTACTTGTTAAACATATATGCAGATTAGTATGGTTACTAAAAGAATATTTTATAAGCTTTAAGTGTGAATTTATTCATTCATTAATCAAAACATGGTATAATCATCAAACATACAAAAAATAAATTGTCTCCTCCTATATCCAACAATACTAAGGGAGAAAAAACAAAACAATGTGAACAATATATTTAAGAATATATGGTAAAAGAGAAAAAAAAGATTTATATTTGAAACCATTTTACTTTTTTATTATTTTTTGGGAGAGAGGGAGAAGTGGTTGATGGTACAATTTGGAAAGCATCAGACATAAGAAAGTGTAAAAAAATTACTCACGCGGCAATATTCTTTATCAGTCTCTTCGTGATCATCAGAACTCTCTTGGTCAGGATCTTTATTCTGAAACAGTGTACATTTTTTAATATTTAAAATTGAAACAAACTTTTCATATTTAACACACATACTCATAATGTTCAAATTGTTTAATATATGTATTCATCTGTTGAGATATTTTTATAATTTGTTCATTAATTAAATCACTACTAACACTAATTCAAATCAAACCAACTTTTTATGCTCAAAATCGCAACGCATAGAGTCTTTGTTTGAAGTATTGTAAGTCATTAAAAATTAAATTTTCTGGCTATTTTAAGTATAATTTACAGTCATTTTAAAATAATGAGTACAAATAATAGTTATGTAACATTGATCATTCAAGATGTTTATAGTCTCCATGAGATTTAGCTATTCTTTCCAAAATAATTATAGATTGAATTCCCTTAACTTAAAACATAGTGCAATAAAATGAAAAGGTTGTAAAACCTACGGAAAAAACAAACAAAAAGTAATAAAGTTATTACTTTATTACTATAAGTCAGTGAGAACACTAAGAAGAAAGACAATACTTTTTTTTTAGTCATACCACATAAACCGCTATCTCTAGTGAATTCTATAACTGGTAACTATGCTCTGACCCTAGGCCAACATCAGTCCAGTTTAAAAACATAACTTTACTGGAACCAGGATCTCAGAATACATCGGCCATTAGGTTTAATTCCACTATTCAATGAAGTTTTACTTGCACTACCTACCATTAAGAGATAATTAATTTTTTCTAAAATTTTAACTTTTTATGAAAGAGGAGTTATCTTATTCTCCATAACACATCATTTCTTTGTAATAACATAAATGTCTGATTTATACCCTTGCTCATGTAAAACACTCAATTTTAGAGCATTTTTTTTTTCTACAGAAACCTTTTTTCAGAATTTTCCAAACCACGCTAAGAAAATCATTTCATAGCTCCACTGTCATAAAATTAAATAATTAATCTACCTATTTAAATAATTAGGGCTATAGTGATGAAGCTGTGATCAACTATAAACTGAATTTCATATGGTATAAAATTACAAGCATATTAAAGAATATCTATTACGTACCAATGCTGAAAATTCTTGTTTAAGTTCAAGGCACCATTGCTGATAAGGAGCGCCGAGAGGTCCAACTTTTGCAAGGACATCTCTGATTTCTTTGCAAAGGCTGGGATTCCTCTCTAGTTCTACTCGAGAAACCCTCAGCCATTCCTTGAAGAAACAAACATTAATCAAGGTAATATAGAATCATCAGTATTATTAAAGTAGTGGTTGTAGTGTTAAAGTAGTGGATGGGAATAATGTTATTTATTTCCAATAGAAAAGAAAGATCTATGTTGGGTCACTTATAATCAAAGAAAAATAAATAAAAATATATCTGAAATGGAATGTGATGTTTCTGTTTAAAAAGAGAAATAAATGAGCCATGAGAAAGATAATTTTTGACCAATATATTGATATGATAGCAATATCTCGGGTTGGATAAAATGAGGTATGTAACAAAAAAAAAAAAAAAAGAAAATATGCTTATTTGATAGAAACTGACTTTTATTTAAATTTACTCAATTTCATTTCATGTTTTTACTTTCTGTTATCAAATTTACTTAATGTATTTAATTTTTTAATACAGTTGTAAATATCATGTATAAATAAACATAAACATAAATTTACTCAAAACATGTGGAATGCGTATTCCAAATATAATGTTTATAATTATTACAGTACCACCTTTGGAATTGAGTATCAAGTATGCAAAGTGAATTCCAAAAGACTATATACAAATATGCATGTTAAACTTTACTTTATTTTATTTCTAACCTATTCTGATATCTATTAAGATTGTCAACAAATTTGAGCCAATAAATCCCATGCAGAGTGACAAATTTAGGTAAAGCTCAATAACTAAAAATGTTAAAATGTATTCAGCCCTAAGCCAAAAACAGACAGGTATAAACTTACCATAAACAGAAAACCTATCTCAAACTCTGATGAGTACTTACTATTCCTAAGTCTGATAGTTAAAAACAAGCTAAAATAATCATCCATGATCTCTAATAATTGGCTATAATTAAGATAATGGACACAAGCGTGATATTCAAATTAAACTTAAACCAAATAACTTTGTTATGAAAATTTACTAAAAATGTATTAACTAGGTTTTTGCAGTAACTTACCAATTAAGTTAATAAGCAGTAACTTACCAATAAGACATTATATAATAATGTATTATTATTTTGTTGAGTACAAAAGCTACCAAGTGGTGATGGTAAAGCGTTCTCACATAAGATTTTTAATTTTTGGTCCATCAGATTTCCTCATTTTCCCTTTAGCCATTGGCTGTAAATACTTATATTTTCCTCATTTTTTAAAAATTATTACCATGGAATTAGTATGATTCACGTCCTCTACAGTATATGTAACTAATAAATTTCCGGCCGGCCGGCCAGAAGAGAATTGATTCACCAAGTAATCGATTACAGCCTACAACATTGAGTGTATTACAAGTTCCAAAACTCAGCACTGAGCTCATCGAGGACATCAGAAGTTCATCAGACCGTTCCTAATCTGATTGATGGATACCACTTATGAAGTTCACCAGGTTAGTGGAGAGAAACCATAGGGGGGGACATTATCTATGGTCACTACAATAGATAATGTAGTTAATCTAAATAATATTAATTTCCCTAGCCTAGATAGATTTTAAATATAAGTTTAAAATTTTAAATTGCTTGGTACTTATGTGAACATATGGTCAACAGGTCAGCAATTGAAAGAAGAAATTGTCAAGTACATTAAATAACTTGTATGGTTAAACTATGTAGATTTTAGATACATGTGGAATGTATTGTTATGTTAAATTCTATCTTCTAATTTTAGTACTAATATTCATTTTCTCAATTATGTTTATATTATTTCTTATTTTACCATAATAACCAGCAGGTTTTTAAAATAAAATTTTTGAATATTTATTAACATATTATGAAATAAATACTGATCTTATATACCTCTATAAAGTTGAGAATGACTTTATGCCAAGGAGGTATATCAAGTTGAATACAGGCAGGACTGTCTCTTCTCCTGTTAGCCCTGTCTGAAGGAGATAAGGAAGACCTACGACTAGGGGCTGCAGGGAGAGTCCCGCTTGACACCCGCCTCTCCTCGACGGGTGTCGATGCGGGGCTACCCAGAAGCTGGAACCAAAACAGGGCCTGGTTTGATACAAAAAGTTTCTGTAATTTAACTTGTCAGAAATAATACATGTGCATGAACTAATACATCTTTCTTCTTTTGTAAGCTGTAAGGTCCCATTGCAAAGATAAATCAGTACTGTAAAGATTGAAATTAGATTATACATTAGCAGATAAGTTTTTTCTATAAAATGAACTAAACCGTAAGTTAAAAGAAAAGCTAACAAAAATAAGATAAAATAAAGTGATTTAAAGAAAACTAGGAAGAAATGGTAATATAATTACAGGATTTCAACATATAAGTTTCAAAGGAAAGTAGGTGATAATCATTCCACAACAGTGTCATAAGCAATCAGAGATCAAATGTTAACACTAGATCGGTAATAGTGAAATCTTTTGTTAAAATTATGAAATATTTTAACTATTAAGACATAGTTCTTACTCTCATTATAAATAATTTAAGTGTTGCTTGTTTGAATACTTTAATAAAAAAAAAGTCGTTACAAAAATTAGAGAACCTTAAAAATCCAAAATCATTAGTCACAGTTTAGAAAAAAATCTATATATTATAAAAACCTATTGAAACTAACCAAGAATCCAATATTTTTTAAATTATGCTTAAAGAGTTTTAAGAGATATTAACCTTCAAGAAAATGTAATTTTTTAACTATCATCAACATTTTGCTAAAATAAATATATATGTAGATTATGAATATTGATCTATTATGACTTTAAATGGATAAAAGATTTTTCCATGAAATCATTTATAGAATTTTCCTAATTAGAAAAAACAGGAATTCCCAAGCTTTTTAGCCTTAGAGTCACGCTGACTATTTTAATTTCCAACAGTCAAGACTTAATCAGCTCACCATATAAACATAAATGCATAGGCAGATCTATGGAGAAGGGAAGGGAGACTTTCGGGTTGAAGCCTCTCCCGAAATGGTAAAATATATCCATATCTTATTAAAAAATGATATCTAAAAAGTATTATTGTTCGTTAATTATATTTAATATGACCTCAAGAATCACTTAATCACCATTTATTGTAAGTAGTTAGTTTCTTTTTTTCCAAAAAAATTATCGTTATGTATAACTAGAAAAGAAGCTTTCGGCCTGAAGCCCCTTTCCCCCCCCTCCCAAAAAAATGAATTCCTGGATCCGCTAGTGATGCAATGTAATTATAATAAATTATGGCAGAGTTACGATTGCAGAGAGCAGTTGTAATTAAAAGAACTTTTGTCTTAACAATTTTCTGTCTAATAGAGAAAGAACAGAGTCAAAACATGATTTCCTTAAATCTGTATATGAAATAGTTATCTTCCTCCAATATACAGCAAAAACAGAAATATTACAGCAAATTAATTCTATATTATATGATCTCTACCAAATTAATTTATTTATTCTTTGTTTTTTTGTTATTTTCCCCTTAACAGTAATACAATAATGCAACCTGAAAATCTAAAACAAGCAAAGCTTTTTTTACAATAAAACTACAAAAGCAACAATTTATACGCAGCATTCTGTAAATATTGATATTATGATTGTTTTAATTATCTTTCATCCGTAACATCTAAAAATAAAAAATGAAGATTAAAATTTTCTCAGTTTAAACTTAATTAATAAATACTGAATTACTTCCTAAAAAAATTTCAAAAGGTGCCAGTGCAAAATAGTGCCAGATATAGCTTGGATTAATGTTATATCATAAGAAAATTAATGAAATAAACTTATGTACAAAAAAAAAATGAAAAATCGACTACAACTTACTCTTCAAAATATTCCATTTTCAAGAATTTTACATATATTAAAAACTTAATATATATAAGTTTTAAGACATTATCAAAACATGTTTACATTCTCAATTGCCTAAAGGAAAGAAAGAATTGTGATTGATCTTAATAATTGAAAATTGAGCTCTGTAATGATATTTACAATTAATTATTTCATTTTCAATAGATACTTGCATTAATAGTGAAATGCAGGATTGTCCATGACTTATACAGGATTCATTTAAACAGCAACCTACATATGGTTTTAATGAATCCTAATCAAAACTTTTTCATTAAACCCCTATACCCTCAGAAACATTTCTCATATCTCAGACTCGATCGACAAATTGTGGTTCACAATTACGTAAAATTACAGTACTACTTCACATTCAAGATGGGAGGTGGTTTCCACTAATCAGACCTCACTATACATTAAATACAGCAAGCTCAAAATTAAATAAACAAAATAAATAAACTTAATCAATAAGCACAACAAAAAAATGTAACTAACTTTATTTTTCATTCCAAACATGTTTTTAAATGTAATAAATCAATCCCAAACAGTTTGTCCTTCTGATTATTATTACAATTATAATTATGTATTAATCCCCACTAATGAAGATTCTTGCTTGGTAAGCCCAACCCCAACTGAAAAATTATGATCAAAGTTTTTTCACATCTTTTAAGCAAGTGTAAGTACTACTGTTGTGATCTAATTAATGCAGTAATAATTGAAAACATTAATGATCGGAATCAAGTACTAATATTGAGTTTATTGTTCAATTTGAAGTGATTGTCAGAGCCTATCTTACCTCCATCTACTTACAGTATTAATAAACAGTCAGGTCTGATAACTGGAGACCATCTGTCATATTGTAGCTGAAGTGAAACCGTAACAGATGACTCATTTCAGATGATTGAGCCCTTAATATAACATAAAATACCTTATTTTTTTTATTTTTAGGTTATAAGAACTTATATACTGCATTTGATTTTTTTTTTTTTTTTTATCGCTTGAGAAGCAGTAAATAGACTTCTAATCCATATATATATTTGTAAAAATTGTTCAAACATATTTATCAAATTGGTTAGAAAAATATAATGAAGGTTTGACAAACCCAGAGGTTTTATAGCAATGATACCAAAATCATCCACTATATACCTCTTCTCATCTTCCCCCATGGAATTCTCTCAAAATCCAAGAGTATTTATGTTGAATGTTGAACTCGAGTTATATCAGTGGGTCTTTCAAGCTTATATAATAACTTATAAGCATGCCTTAAAGGCCACTCTCATTTTTATTCTGTAGCTCTGCCAGACTTATCTACCTTGTTTTTCCTTGACAGCTGTTAACAGCCATTCTTTCCCCCTCCCTCCGTTTACTAAAGAATACTATATAAAAAAGAAAATTACAAAAAAAATGTATACGATAAGATAATAAATGTTCCATTGTTATTATAATTAATCCATTTAATATCATTAGCTACAGTGGAACATTTTTATATGTTATATGGACTTATAAGTATTAATAAAAAGTATACCCATAACTGATATGAATACATAATCAAACATAGGAGTAGTTGCCAATGTCTCATGAAATAAGCAGGTACAGTTACAAAATACACATAAAATTGAACATTAATTAAAAATCTTATAACATTTAGAAATAAAGTAAATGAAGAACATAAAATTTAAGTCAGACATAAAGGAAAAATAGTAAAGCTAATTACTTATGGAAAGGGTCATACACAAAACACCAAACAGTGAATAATTAGAAAAAACAACATTAAAGGTAATTATTAAATGAAACTGAGTTATAATTTGAAGCAAAAGTTGTGATTGAATAAAAAAATAGTTGATAATTAAAATAAAACATGCAACAGAAAAATAATTTTTAAAAATAATAAAATCTTAAATTCAAACAATGTATGCAAAGAGTCAGTATTAAAATTCAGACATACAGTAAAGTTTTCTTCTGAATTAATTATTACATTAAATAGTAAAACTGGTACCTTACAAATTACAAAATTTGAAACAAATATTATCTACGAGCAATAAATTAATTCTTAAAAAAAAAAAAAAAAAAAAAAAAACATGCAATTATTGTTGGTTTCTGATTAATGTATTAAAAAAACTTTAACACAATCAGTAAAATTAATTATATCAAAAAATCAGACATGCTTGTACCAAATGAAACATCAGTTTATATCTTCATTATGAGAATTATCCTATAATCCAGTAATATATTTTACTTTATATACAAATGAAAACACTTTATACTATGTAAACATACTGGTTTTATAATGTTACAGATATGAAGATAGTATAGGCAAGTGCTGTTATGATTTTCCTAACAGTCAAGTCAGTTGTTGACTTTCCTTTGTCTAGTTTTTTTGTAAATAGCCGTCTCTAGGATGCCACACCATTCATATAAATTTTATCAATCCAACTTAATCATTTCAACCATCAACTTTTAATTTAAATAATAAGCTCCAATATTCACCCTTTTCCGTAATTATTACATTGATTAAAAATATCTTTCAAAAAAAAAAAAAAAATACTTTGACTTTTCATATCATAAAGCCTCATTTACAGCCTATAAAAGTTTTGACAAATGAAAGACTACTGATAAAAATTTTGTTATAAAAATTTCGATATAATCATAAAATGTGTTATTAGTTAATAAATGAAGATCAGAGATGCCCAAAAGGAAGGGGAATGGCATAAGTTGTGCTTTCAAAACTTTTGAGGTAGTAAATTTTATTTTTAGGAGGTTCCAATTTGAGAGAACATTCAATTGAAAGATGTATGGTTGAATCAGAGATGGATTCTGGGAGTCACAATAACACCATGCTCCATGATAGAGAAATAGAACCCCCTCAGCTTAAATAGATCCAGGAGGCGATTGCCCAGTCATAAGGCACCAGGAGGTGATGGACTACCACCTGAGCTTTTTAAATATGGTAACAAACCGCTACATAAGCTCATTTATGATCAGATATTCTCCGTCATGGACACAGGAAAGAATGCCTCTTCAATGGGAATATGCGGTCATATGTCCTATACACAAGAAAGGAGAACAATTGGAATGCGCCAACTACCGATGGATTTCGTTATTGAATGTGCATATAAGATACTCTCCAACATCCTCTATAACAGACTAGCCCCATTATTCCCCGATTGTCAAATTGGAAAATACCAAGCTGGTTTTCGAAAGGGTAGATCAACTATTGATCAAATATTTACTCT